GGGGAGTGTCGAGGGCCAGGAGGGGCCAAGGCCGAAAGGAGAGAAGTTGTTAGCAGAAGCCCCTCACCCCCTTGCAAGGTAGCCCCAAGGCCGGTGGTTTGATTCTAGTCTGTGCCGCTTACTGTCTGTGTGACCTTCGGCAAGGGGCTTCACCTCTCTGAGCCTCAGTTTCCTCATCTAATACACCTATTTTCCTGGAGTTAGTGAAGGATTAAAGGAGACAATATGTGTAATTAAGTGAGCAAAAATGTTCCCAGATGTAGGATTCACACATGATCTAAGTACTAGGAGGACCTGGAGTAAAATGCCACAAAAGAAGACACTTTCTTTTAAACTTGTTCACAGCCCAGAGAAAGTCTCCATTGTATGCTAATGCGTCCTTAACACTAATCTCTTTTTGTAACAAAGGAAGAACAGGCCGCTAGCAAGGAGCCTTGAGCCGGGAACGGTGCAATAGCACTGCTCTGTGTTCTTTGCATTAATTTTTTATGGTTACTTTTTACTTACTGCACGTGATACCAGCTTTCCATCTGTAAAAATGATGTAAAAGTTCTTTGAAAATATATTTATTGCTGTTAAAAAGCGTCATTTTAAGTGAAATATGTTAAATAAAAGTAGTCCTCAAGGGAAGGGAAAGATTGCTACAGGTGATTGGAGCATAGGTTTGGCAAAGACCGGCCTGGCCCATGGAAGACACTCAGGACTTGGTGTGCGAGCAGTAGGAGGGAAATGACAATACACCCACCTCTCGGATACCCTGAGAATTCAATGCGATCGCGAGGATGAAGGTGTTCAGTCCTCAGCAAGGCTGAAGTTAAACGGGGGCTTAGCCTGCCTTCTCCCCTGCAGCCTGATTAAGGATGGGAAGTGAGGTTGTGTTAGAAGGAGCAGGGATTCTGGGGGAGATGCGATGATCCCCATTTCATTGATGGGAAGGCTGAGACTAAGGGACCCCTTGACCTTTGCTCTCTATGTGCTCTCAGGAACCAAAGGGGACACTGATACTAGTATCATCTCCCTGGGGGCTGCTGGGCCCTTCCTCTACCCAGAAGGAGATAGGGAGACAGGGTTGGGCTGCCACCGTGGACTGAAACAGAATGTGTCCCCGGAGCCTCAGGTCTTGTCTGAGTAGTGAGCCAACCCATACGGGTGTGACAGAATTGAAGATGCAGACGTATCCTCCCAGAATAGAGTTGAATCTGCCTCAGCCCTGCCTTGTCTGGAGTAGATGAAAAAAGGACCGATGGA